TGCCCTGCTGCTGTAATCACTGCACTAGCACTGGCACCAGCACCAGCACTGGCACCGGCACTGGCAGGAGATGTTTTTGGATTCCCCCTCGCAGGGAAGCTCCACTCAAGGTAGCTAATATTGCATGAAATGCAGACTCAGAAAGCTCCAGTGTCACTTGTGTTGCAGCTTTGTGGCACACGCTGGCACTGTGACCACGTGGGCTTCATGCTGGGGGCACAGCGTGCCTGTGGTTTGCACCAGACCATGGAGATTGTAGAAAGCTCAACTTTGCTCCAGTGGTCTCGCATTATGGCAGTGACATTAATGGCATTTTGGTAGAGCATGTCTCTTCAGCCAGGGTGCCCTCCTCTCAGCTCCGATCCAGCTTGGATCTGCCTCCGCTTCACTGGAAACACTCGGCATCGGAGGGACATGTGATCCCCAAACACGAGCTCTGCTGCTGGTGCTTTCCCAGACTTCATTTTCAGAGTCCCCCTGGCACAGGGAGCCGATGACCCTGTATTTCCTTGGCATCATCTCTTGCTCTGAGCGGCTCTCAGGGCGCAGGCAGGTTGGCACCCCTCTCAGTGTGCCAGGGCTTCATTTCCGTAGGGCCTCATCCTTGGGCTCTTTCCTTCCGTTGAGGTGCAGGGCGAAGGTTTGGGTGAGGAGCGGGTTGCAGGGCTCCATGGTGTGTGCCCGTGTTCCCCTGGAGCGCTCTGCCTTCGCCCGCACTTGTGAGATACAGTGAAAAAATTACTCAGCCTGCGGGTTCTTAAGATAGGGCTTAGCACGCACTGCTTCACCAGCCAAAGCAGAGCTGGCAGCAGAGCTTTAGTCTGCAGAATACAGCAACATTTCAAATCATACTTTCAAATATTTTGTTTAGAAGTCTGATAGAAAAGCGGAGGGTTTATTCAACATGTGACATATCAAGGGTTGGTCCAGTCCTTGGAGACATGCACGATCTAACACCATCCAGGGAAGAGTTTCAGAGAAAAAGTGGCCTTTGGTGTCAAATATCACCAAAAAAAAAAAAAAGGAAAGAAAAGAAAGAGAGAGAAAGAAAAGAAAAAAGAAAAATAACAAGTCATTAAGTCATTGCATCTTAGGACTGTTAATGGACTAATTTTCTTTCAATTAAGTTTCCTGTCACCACAGCACTAAATTCTTATCGCTTTGGTCACCTGAGGGGCACCTTTCCTTAAACATATCATCAATTAGTAAAGCTCACGTTTCCCTAATGCCAGCCAAGCAGAGCGTCCCACAGCTGTTGCCATATTCTTCCACAAACACAAAATATACCCAGCAAGCAGTAGCAATGAGCAGGGCCTTGCCCGAAGGCAGGAGACGGGATCCGCACGGACTCCATAGGAAACAGGATGAATCCTGGTTCTGCAGCCCGTAGAGCACCTCTGTGCTGGGTGCAAGTTCTGGAAAATGTGAAAAGTGTAGATGCTGGGGGAGGAGGAAAGATATACGCTTAAAAAGAAACTGGTGATACTTGGGGTTTCAGAGGGTACGGACCTGCGAGGTTCACACAAGACATTTTTGTGAACATCGTCAGCACTTTTTTTCTCTCCAGAAAAATAGATACAAATGCTACCTAGGGAGCTGGAGGGAGGTAAGTGGAGTGGAGCTAAATTTCTCTGCAAACTTCGTGCTTTCTCTAATTATTCTTTTGAATGTCTGCCTCCAAAATAGCTTTGCTGCAAACTCCAAGCTAGTAGAAGGTAATCACACCAAGAAAGCGCTGTAGGGAGAACTGATTTTATCCCCAGAAAAATGGAAGGAGCGGTAGGAAGTTTTGGGGTTTGTGTGTTTGTTTTTATTTTAAAACTCTGTTACGAATGGCGGTAGCTCGTGGGAGCAGTGATTGGAAACAAGAGAAAGCAAGAACCAAGTTGCATTAAAATGAGACACGGAGGAAGATGGGAAATGAGAGCGGCCGAGAGGCAGCTGGCTGCGCGGTTACGGGCAGGCAGGCAGCGCTGGGGCCGGCAGCGGCTGCACCGGCTGTTTTCTGGTAATCGCCTGTTTTTCTCCCCCCGGCGGTGCTTTCTGCTTCTCCTGCCTGTTACAGGGTGCTGGCTCCCTGCGGCGCGGGCAGGCGGCTGGGACCCCGGCGCGCAGGGCTCTGCCAGGGTGAGCACGTGTGCGTGTACAGGGGTGTCTGTGTGTGCTGTACCATGGTGTCCATGTGCGCATGTAGAGGGGTGTCCGTGTGTGCGTGTACAGGCGTGTCCGTGTGTGCATGTACAGGGGTGTCTGTGTGTGCATGTACAGGGGTGTCTGTGTGCGCTGTACAGGGGTGTCCTTATGTGCTGTACAGGAGTGTTCATGTGTGCATGTACAGGGGTGTATGTGTGTGCGTGTACAGGGGTGTCTGTGTGTGCATGTACAGGGGTGTATGTGTGTGCGTGTACAGGCGTGTCCGTGTGTGCATGTACCGGGGTGTCCGTGTGTCGGGGTGTCTGTGTGTCATGTGTATAGGGGCATCTGTGTGTCAAGGTGTCTGTGTGTGTACGGGGGTGTATCTATGCGTCAGGGGGTCCATGTGAGCCTGTGTGGGGAGTGTCTATGTCTCAAGGTATCTGTGTGTTGTGTGTACTGGGGATGTGTGAGTGTAGGAGTGTCCGTGCACACCTGTATGGGGCTGTTTGTGTGTCAGGGTGTCCATGGGTTATGTACAGGACTGTCTGTGTGTCGGCGTGTCTGTGTGCACCTGTATGGGGGTGTCTGTGTGTCAGGGTGTTCATGGGTCATGAACACCGGTCCAGCTGCCGGGGTGTCCGTGTGTCCATGGGGCAGCGTGCGCGTCCCTCTGAGGTGGCGGCGGGGAGGCCGCACCCGAGGCCG